AAAGCCCCCCCCCCCCCCCCCCCCTGGCCCAGGAAGGGGGGCACGAGCGGCCTACAGCAGCAGAACTGGGGGCAACTTAACAAGGCGCATGTTTGGCTACCCGAGGGGTGTATACGCTACTGAGAGAAGGTATGGAGAGCTTCTTAAGACCGGGGGGCAATACTATTCAAGGCAGGTCTTATTGTCCGAGAGGCTTTCGACCAATGGTTCCTGGCCGCCCGACTTTTCGTGCAGCACTTTTGATGCATTTTCGGACATGGGGCGACGCCCCAGAGCTACTCGTGCAATCATATCTTTGCACGAAAAATCGCAAGGCCATTCGGATCAAAGCTCATTCCAAAGTCGTCCTTGAACCGTATTGCCCCCCGGTCTTTAGCCCTTCAAGTTGACTTCTTGTTAACTCGGGACTATGTTATCCTCCCTATGCTGGGGCGCTCGTACTGGCCTATGCTGGCTATGCTGGGCCTGCCTTAAGCTGGCTATGCTATGCTGGGTTGAATACTAGCATACTCGGATCCTCGGGCTAACACACTTGCTAACACAAGCCCCTTCAAAATTGAAAATTTGTGTTTGCAAAGCAAACTCTGAGCTGATTTGCGGTGTGCTTGTAGCTACGTGCCGACACCTTGCGATTTTGCAATTTTGATTTCCCCAGGTGCTTTGGGTGTTTGGGTCTGGCGTGTGGTTTCGGGCGGGTCGCGCCCTAGAAGGCGTGGGCGGCGTCTTGGAGGCCCCCTACAATGCGTGAGCGGCGGTTGAGGTCGCATATGAAGGGTAAGCGGCGGTGTCAGGTGCCAGCTTTTGAGGTGGAGTTGAAGCGGCGCATTTCAACATATCCCGCCGGCGGGATATGTTATGGTACTTCTCCTTCTCACAACTTTCATCAGAGATGTTCTCGCGTACAGGTCTAGGGCCTTGGCGAGGGCTGTATCAGTCGAATCCGCTCCCGAGTCGGCCTTGTATCGCTGAAGGGCGACCTTATGCTTGTGCGCCTCAGCCTTGAGGAGGAGGACGGAACTTCTCCGATGAACGGCCTCGCCAGTCGGGGTGACTCGCAGCTCCGCAGGAATTGAGATGAAGGGCGTGGCATTTGTTTCCAGTCCACGTGGACCGGGGTTGCCAGACTGGCCCTCTTGCCGCGCAGGCTGACGACGGATGCTGCTCTCTCGTCGGAGAAGGAGCAGGGGCAAGCCACCAGTAGGGTTGATGTCATCACCGGTGCGTCGGTTGTGGAGGGTCGAGAGGCGAGCGACACGAGTGGCGTGAGCCCTCCTGCGCCGGTCCACGTCGATGTCCTGCCTTTGGCCCCCCATCGCATTGTCAGTTGACAGCGGTAACGTGCCAAGCGGGTACGCGGCGAGCGTGGTGATGTGCGGTCGGTCTCTGGTGTTGGTCACGCGCCTACAAGCACAATGGTTTCACCCAGGCGAGAGTCACTCACTGGCATGGACACAGGAAAACACATGCTCAATGACCTGCGCCAGCTGGTCCACTTCGCCGAATGCTTCGAGCCCGTCCAGGGTGCACCGTCCGAGGCCGCCACTCTCCCCTCGCGCGTATCATTATCGCTGCTCACTTCAGCGTCTGACTCGCCCCCTTCGCGCAACTCGCCGTCGCCGTCGACAGAGCCTTGCGATCGCGGTGAGTCAATGGCTGGATTGCTGTCGGTAGTTTCCTCAGCTGTGATAGCGAGCCGCAGCGGATCCCCCGCCTCGAGGCGGTTGAGCTCAGAGTCCCTCTTGTCGATGTTACAGGAAATTTTCTCCTCGTCTCGCACAATTGATATGGTGCCAGAGAGAACGTCTCCAGCGTGGTCACTCTGGAGTCCAACCTGCGACTGGCGCGCATCGACGGCGGCTCCTAAGCCGCGATCCTTGCGGAATTCCCGAAAGGCGGCATCGCCATCCATCTCCGCGAGCAGTGCGCTTTCGCTGGTCGCAGCGAGAGGTACTACGTCATCGAAGGTGGCGAAATTCCGACCACCGGGAATGTCCTTCTTGCTCGCGAAATCACGCTCGAGACTGGCCTGCTCGCCCTCGGCGTCGCGCAAGACATTGCTGATTTGTTTGGTCTTTTCGATGTAGTCACTCCGTAGCTCTGTAAGAGCGCCATGCGCTAAAGCAGCTTCTCCGAGTTCCAATCCAATGGCCTCGATTGTCGTCACGATGTCCCGGCTCTTTCCCTCAAGGTGTTCCTGCCGGCTCCGGAGCGTAGATCGTCGCTCGTCGATCCTCTCCTGGGCCGTCGTTGGGCGGCTTCGGTGAGGTAGAGGCGATTCAGCATAGTCCTCGAAGTCGTCCTCATTATTGTGGTCGGTCCTCTCTTCGGGCTCGACAATTACACGCTCCAGCGCCGCAATTTGGTCGTCGCTGATGCTCCCACCCTCGGCGATGACTGTCTCTAGCTGTCTGAGGGCGTTATCGTAGTGTTTGATGTGCGCGATGTGTTTCTTGAGGCACTTCTGCTTCTTCTTGGCCTCGTCCTGCGCCTTCTTGAGCTCGTACTCGCGCTGCAAAATTGCCTTGAATTTTTCCTGGATCTCGCGGATACGTGCAAGATATATGTCCTTGCGCGCCTTGAGATTTCGTTTCTTGCGCTCAAGTGCCCCTAGCCGCTTCGCGTACCGCGCTCTGTGTTTCGACACGTTAGACACTGTTGTGCGGTAGAACAACTTTTCCAAGAACAAACGGTACTCGACGGCGCTAATACCGTCGGTCCAGGTGTCAACCAGTTCGAAAATGGATTTCTCAAACTGCTCAAAGCTCATGCCACCGGAGATGCCGACGTCCTTGACAAAGTCCGTTTCCACGATTTCTCGCACCTCCTTGTACTCAAAGTCACTTGGCGTGAAGATCGCCTTAGCAAACTTGAGGAAAGTTTCGATGCACTCGTTCTGGGGGACCATAATTAACGTCCGTGCATTTGAGGACGTCGGGCGATAGCTTGATAAGAGGTCACCGCGCGGGTTCTTCTTGGAGCCCCGCACAGGGCGTTCGTTTTCGCTGGCAGAGCGAGCAGCCAGTGTGGCCATTGCCGCGACGACATAGCTCTCTGAATTCTCGACACGCCCGTCTGCGTCGACGACCGCCGGGAGGGGCGAAAACGGACGCCCTCGCAGTTGGCTCGAGGTGGGATGCTCCCCCTGGAGATCGTCCGGGATCGGATCGAACTGTTTCTTCAAGGGACTGGCTGTGTGCGTTTTCGGTGCAATTTGGGGCCCAAACGTGTCGAAGAACACTTTGATCCACCGCTGGACGACCAGGTCCGCACGAAGCGCCATCCGCCGGTGGTGATTTCTTTTCGAGTACAATCGCACATCCCCGTCGTCGCGCACCACAGACGACGACATTCCGTCTAACTCAAAGCCGTACATTTTCTCAGTGGAGACCAACCCGGCCTTGCCCATCACATCGCTACAATCCTGCACCCGCTCCAGGGAGGCCACGAAAACCGCCTCCGGGCCTAATTTTGCGACTCTAGCAGCCTCAGCGACGTCCTTCTTACTTGAGTGCTTACCCTGGCGGCCAATGTACCCCTTGTGCTTCTTCACTTTCTTCGCCATGCATGTGTCCAATGACGAAATAACCTAACTGCATTAAATTTTACGTACAATATATTGTACTAGTAATACAACAATGACATGGTACAGCGAGATTCAGCTTGAAAGTACCCGCGCTGCGGCGCCGCCCGCCGCGTCGGGCGCGCCCGGGGGCCACGGGAGGTCCTTGGGAGGTCCCCGAGGATCCAAACTATGTCGAACGGAGTCGATGGACGCGTGTAGTGGTCGTTTACGGGGAGGGCTATGGTGGGCTCGGCTTCGAAACACCAAAATATCTCCTTCTTACTTGCAGTACCGACGGCGGAGCCGACGCCTGGTCTCGGCGCTTTCGGGTGCGCTCGAAGGCTAAGATACGTGGTTTTGGCCAGGGATCACCACTCGCGTCGTCGCGCGCGGCGGGCCGCCGTGCGAATTTCAATCGACGCACCCTGGCGCCGGCCCGGGTGTCGCTTTATGCCCCCGGGCCGACGCAGCGACGTTGGGTCTATGTGGCGAAAGCAGCGACGATCTTCGCTCGCGCCGCGCGCGCGCGGGTCGTCGAGCCACACTTCGAGAGGAAGCCGGGCTCCGTTCGCGCTGCTTAGACCACTCGACGACGCGTCTCGTCGCGCTTCGAGTTCGCTCCTATGGCAGCTCGTCCCCCCCCGGCGAGTGGAATTCGCCCGTAATTACGTCGGTGTTTGCTGGATCTCGCTTGTAGTGAACTTAGACCACCTATCATCACCCAGCCAAATAAAACTGCTGGTTGTGGTGGTCCTCTCTCAGCTCGCCGCTTCCCCGGGGTGGCGCGGCTTGTAAACTTATTGAGCGTAGAGCAATGGGAAAAGGTGGATATTGAGTACAGAGGAAGAGGTAAGGTTTTATACCAAACGCTTCGAACCGTATCTTCCCAAATAGCCAATAACCAGGGGAGCAGCGGGCCACTAAGCTACAACCATTCCTCCACACCGCGCATCACGAAGCCATCGCCGCGCCCGGCGCCATCACGGCGCTCGTCGCTCGCGTGTGGAGAATCGGGCCGCGATCGCCGGCGCATCGCAGCGCTGACCGGAGGAGCGGTGACAGGGCGATTGATTAACGCAGGACATGCGCTCCGTCGATTCTCGTCACTGGAGTCTTGTGCACGATTGTCGATGAGTGATACCGGGACAGCCTCAAAATTACGGTGCGTGGTGAGTCGATTAATCGCTGCTGGTGATATCCGTGCCGAGGATCCAGCAGCATGCGTGGTGGGAGTACTTGTGAAGCAGCACCCTGAATACGGACGCAAGCCGCAGGCGGCGCTACGAAACATGGTGCGCGATGCGTTGTCGGAGGGCTCCATCAATGACACCGACGTTTCCGCGACCGGGAAGCGGACTATAGAGACTTGCGTCGTCAATGTCAGCGGTGGGGACTCAGGAGTGGCCAAGGCGGTGGCGTCTATGAACGATGGTTTGCGGGGGACGTACTCGGCGCTCCAGGGCAGCCCGTTGGCTTCACCGACATCTTCGAGACAGGGCGATGGGTCTGCGTCAGCTGCTCGGTCATCGAAAAAGCGGCGGGTCCACGGGACTGCCCCCGAGGAGGTGGTAGCTTCGGTCGACCCAGTAGCCGCATCGCGTCGCCTGGCTCCGCAAGTGTCCCTCAACGAATATGTGGGTTATGCAGGCGCGGTGACACGCGTGCGGGAAGCGGTCGTAGACCAGTTGTCAGCGCGTGAGTCGTATGCGGCGCTGGGCGTTGATGGTCCACGGGGCGTGCTCGTGCATGGACCACCAGGATGCGGAAAGACGCTTCTCTGCCGGGCGACGGCCGGTTCGGCGGCAATTGCGCTCGCAGCGGAAGGGGGTGGTGAGTTGAGCTACTTTGAGCTCTCCGGTGGTGACCTGGGGTCGGGACCTGAGGCGGAGATGAACCTAGAGCGACTGCTCTCGGCAGCCACTACAGCGGCGCCGTCGCTCGTCTTCCTCGACGATCTCGATGTGCTCATCGGTTGCGGCGGTGGTGCCGGCGTCAGCAACGGCAGTGAGTCACTGCACGCTAGGCGCCTTGCTCAGTGTAGGATGTTTAGGGTGGTTCTATCTTTGGGCCAATTTTATCTCATCATAAATGCACCAGAGGGCTTACGAGTTTTCCCTCCTCTCCCAACTTGGAAAATCTCCCCCCACCCCGTATGATTTCAAAAGTTGATGATGCTCGGGTTTCGATCGGACCGAAGGACTCTCGAGCGTGGGCATCCCAACTCATACCTTGATTCTGGCATAGGTATTGCGTCGCGCCTCTGTGGATGCCTTGACGCGTTGCCCTCGTTCCGGTGTCGTCCGGATGCTACGCCACCGTCGTCATCAGATGGGTTGAATCTTGTAGTCGTGCTTGCCACGGTAAGGACCCCCGATTCGTTGGACACGCGACTTCGGCGGTTGGGTCGCTTTGCGCGGGAGGTCGCAATTGGCGCACCCGACCGCGCCGCGCGAGAGGCCATACTTGATGCGGCACTCCCTCGTCTTCGGGATCACGATGTTGCGCTTCAAGATGTGGTCCGCGCGACGCCCGGTTGGGTCGGCGCAGACCTCGTCGCCCTCGCCGACGAGGCCGGCGCTGTCTGTGCACGACGCGTCAGCGCGTGGCGCGCTGCCGCAGCTGCCATGGATGGTACGGCGGCGCATCCAGCCGCTACTGAAAATAGTGTCTTCGTTGCCCTCCCTAATGGTGCTAATATGCCGCCGTCGCCGCTCCTGGTGACGCATGCAGATGTTTTACGTGCGCTCACCACCGTAGAACCATGCTTTGGCCGGTCGGGCTTCAGCCGTGCACCCGACGTTGACTGGAAGGACGTCGGTGCGCTCGCCGGCGTCCGGGACGAATTGACGACGTCAATTCTTGCGCCTATTGCGGACCCTGATCGTTTTGCTGCGCTTGGCGTGCCGCTTCCGGCCGGCGTACTCCTCTACGGACCACCGGGCTGCGGTAAGACGCTCCTCGCGCGCGCAGTCGCCCGGGCCTCGGATGCTAATTTCATCAACGTCAAGGGTCCTGAGCTTCTCAATAAATATGTTGGCGAAAGCGAGCGGGCCGTCCGGGCGCTTTTTGCGCGCGCGTCTGCGTCTGCTCCGTGCATCGTCTTCTTTGACGAGGTTGACGCCCTCATCCCGCGCCGTGGCGGCCCCCTCGGCGACGGCACGCAGGCTTCCGGCGACTCAAATGGCGTCACAGATCGTGTCGTCAATCAGCTTCTCACGGAACTCGACGGACTTGAGACACGCGGCCAGGTCTATGTTGTCGCCGCGACGAATCGTCCCGAGCTTGTTGACCCCGCATTTCTCCGTCCAGGGCGCGTTGACAAGCTTCTTTTCGTGCCTCTCCCTAGACCAGAGGAACGAGTTTCCATCCTTGTCGCCGCCACACGCCGTGTTAAGCTCCACGCGGATGTCAACCTTGCCGCCCTCGGCCAAGACGCCCGCGCCAACGGTTTCTCTGGGGCCGACCTTGCCGCCGTCGTCCGCACCGCGGGCCTCGCAGCCCTAAAACAAGGAATGAACGAACTCAACCATGCCCACTTTGACGCTGCTCTCGGCCAGATACGGCCCTCCGTCTCTAGTGGTGATGCTGAAGGCTACAACCGGGTCCACACCCGCATCCGCGGCACGGACAGCGCGTAGCACCTCCAAGCACCTCCAGCCGTGGATTGTCGGTGGACGTCGTGCTCGGACGACGAGGCGATCTCGGGCTCGATCGACTTAAATAGGTGTCCTGCACGCCCGCGCCGGGCAGCCCGCGGGAAACTCGACGCTTTCTAGTTTCGGCCCCACCCGCCCCCCCGGCGCCTGAGTAAAGCCCCCAGCTACCGACCCAAAATTCTCGGGGCCGTTTCGGGTTCCTTGGGGCCCCGTCCGGCGCTGGGGGGGTCTGGGCGAGGTTCTGCCGCCGCCGGCCCGCGGCCGCGGGGCCGCGGGGCTTACTAGAACGAACTAGAACGGTTCTAGTTCCAGTATAGGGCTCCGGGTGATGGGAGTTTCTAGCCACGATGCGAGGCACAGTCACCGCGCCCGGCGCTGGTGAAATTTGGGATCATCGCCAATAACCAAAAGAACAGCCAGGTTATGCGGCCAGGGGCACCCTGGACGGGCGAGTTGAAAGGCTTGCCATCCAAAATACCCAAGGCCATCTCACCCACAATTTTCTTATAATGCTCCAGCAACTCATCATTCAAACCCAACCCTTGGATGTTAGGAGAAACCATATGACCCAAAAAATATAAGCCGCGCCACCCCGGACCCCGGGGAAGCGGCGAGCTGGGAGAGGACCACCACAACCAGCAGTTTTATTTAGCTGGATGATGATAGGTCTAAACTCACTAACTCGTTACCGGAAACATATTGTACTGCCGTAAATGCAATTTCCCAGAGTACTATTATTATTATTATTATTATTATTATTATTGGGGATTTAGCGTCGGAGGCGTCGTCGGAGAAGCCGCATGCCCAAGAGCACACGCGGCCGATAGGTCTCGGACGGAAGAAGTCGAAGTAGGCGGGGGCTGCCCCCAGCAGGGGCCGAAGGCCCACGGGGGGAGGATCAGTTTGCCCGGCGCCCCGAAGGGCGAAGCCCCGAAGGGCGAGAAATTTTGTCCCGAAGGACCGAGCGAACGAAGGGGGAGGGGTCGTCGAAGAGAGGCGGTCGGGCGTTCGCACGCACCGCTCCAGGTTCAGGTCAGGGTCCAGCATGGTGATGATCGGCGGTTCACTAAGCCGCACGGCAGTAGAGAGCTCGAGTTCCAGTGACGCAAAAACCACGCACTGGGAATAATTTTCAAAGAAACCAGCTGGGGAAAATCCCTGGGCGCCGACCGGACACTCAACCCGGGTTGCAGTCGGATCGAGTGCTCGGAGCCCGGTCTAGAAGAAGCAGAAAAACGCACAAGCGGCACTGGGAGCTCGACTGGCAGAACTTGAAGCTGAAGTTCGCCCATCGTCGGCGACGTTCGCGGCACGAGCCCCGCGACAAGAGGCCAGGGGTTGGGAGTCGGAGGAGAGGGACTGCACGACTGGGCGCCCCGAGGGGCGGGCAGGACCGGGCAGGGAGGGGCAGGGGGAAAGGGGCCGCGACGGCCAAGGCCGCGTACTACGACGAGAAAGGCTCGTACACCCGGGACAGGAAACGTAGCACGACTCCGCTGCGTCCGAATAGTAGTGAATATAAACAAGGTTACACTGCGGACTCCGGATCGCACTGTGAGCCCAGTGAAGTTTATTCCGCCAAGGGCTAGTTTTGCTTATTGGTAGTACAGGGCAGGAACCCGCAAGGGACCACTGGGCGTCGTCTAAGGAGCCCCCGCGCGGATTTTGATACTCGACTCCCACCAAGGACACCGTGGGTATCGGGGGCCGTGGGATACGCGTCGCGGAAGTCGGGTTTCATTTTCGCCCTGCCCCCCTCTGGCCGCCACGCGCCACGCTTGCTTGTGAGCGAAAGCGCAGGCCAGGCCCACGAGGCAGTGGCCCTTTGCGCGCAATTGCGGGGCTGCTTGCCTCGCCCGTTGCTTTTGGCATTGTCGCTGCCTAGCTAGCAGCCTGCTAGGTGGTGTCGCAGCCGGGTTGTGCTCAGGAACAATAGGCTCGCCTTCGCGCAAATCGGTACTATCTCAAGCCCATTCCGGAGGCCGCTGGTGATGCGCTCGCACCTTTTGCGACCGAGTGTCCCGATTGCGCAGTGCTCATCGAACTGCCGGCCGCCCCAACAGAACATGTCGAAGATGGATGCCACGGCAGACGCCCCTCCGGTCCACACTTGAATGATTCGAATCGAGTTCAGCAAACGAATGCTCGCGTTGCCGGCTAGATCAAGCACGTATGGCACGAAGACGGTTGCGAAATTTCGCGGCAGTCGACGATGCGGGACGGCAAAGCGATACCGTCGGTAATTATCTTCGCGCCAGCACACCCAGAGCACAATTCGAACGGCAGTCCAGTTTGCAAGTCCTCCCGCAAGGGCAAGGGGTTGACGGTCGACGAAGAGCTGAGAGTCCATGCGCACGTCTTGAGTGTTTGCGTTCCGTGCGGCTGATTGGCGTTCCCGCTCAAGTGCGAGATGTCGATCAAGTGCATCGCGCTCCGTTCGCAGAGTCGGAGTCAGGGTACGGTTGATGAGCTCCAGGTTGTCCCTGGCTATGACGAGCAGCGATGACGTGGCAGCTTGAAGCCTGCAGTGGATTGATGTAATACGCTCCACGCCGAAGTGAGCATTTGCGGCTGCATTATGACCCAACATTCCAGCTTCGCAGATGCCTAGTCCGTTCCCAATTTTTCTTGCCTCTGTGAGCTCCACGGATAGCCTTCGACGCCAGAACACTGCTCCTCTCAACAGCTCCGCTTCGTTGGCGAGTCGTGCCATCAACCTTCGACGCTTATGTAGGTTTGAGATGCGGTACTTCTCCGCGGAGCCCAGCTTTGCGACAGCCATTTCTGCAGAAGGTGAAAATGCGTACGCTGCGATCGTCCCGCTACCTGTGCCCGCAACTAACGCGCCGAACGCCAGAAGGCTGACGTTACTCATCCTACAGCGGTGCTTAAAGCCAAAAGTTAAATATTTCTTAGGCGAGCTCGACCATCCGGATAGCGAGCCAGCCGCTGGCAAAACCCGCAGGTTTAAATCATTTACGCGGCTTCAATGTCGCCCTGCGGCCTGTCAGCAGGGCACCGCTCGAGCCACTATTTGGCGGAAGCCGATGGAATGTCCATCTTAGAGCGCCCCGCGCTCCGCGAATATGCAGCGACGTGCAACGATCCCAGTGGTTTTGAGGTCCGCAAACATGTGCACGAGGTACCTGCGAAGACGCGGCATCCAGACGATTGCGAGGCGACGCAAACGGGCAGCGTCAGGGGGTGGAAGGGTGCGCGGCAGCTGCCCCCCGACCGAATTTCGGTCGCCTTCGAGCCACAGAGCGTCGGGGATCGTTCGTCATGGGGGCGACCAGATGCCCTCGCGGCAGCTCTTCGACTCGAGCCGATTTGATCGAGATCACCTCACCGCCTCCGGGAGGCGCGCGGCGCCGCGGGCGACACGGTGCTCACCGCGCAATGTATGTTTCAGGCTGGCAGCGCGGTCCTTCGCGAGCCGCTCGAGAAGGTCAATCGAGGGGGTGTGGCTTCGCACTCGCGCCGCCAGCTCGAACCCCAGCGCGAAGTTGGCCCCCCATCGGTCGTCGCTCGCCGTTTACGGCCGTTCTCGTCATCCACGGACTGCCCCGACGCGAACAAAGTTGGTCACCTTCGACCGATGGCCTTTCCGGAGCGATTCGCTGCGGGGCCCGAGAGGCGACATGGTCCACAGACCGAGCGGGGCGCCGAGCACGGCACCAACGCTGCGAGCCGCCGCCTAAATGCTCCTGCCGACAGGCTCCTTAAATCGGTCTGATTTGCACACTGGGAGAGAGAGAGTTTTTACGCTGGCCGCCAGATTTAATGGGTTAGTACATTTAACTCTCGTGATTTAGGCTATTTCTTTGGACTAATGATCATTACGCCACATTTAACTTTTGGCTTAACTACACTAGAATGAACGCCTTATTAAGAGCCCGCCCCTATTAAGAGCCGGCAGGATTTGTTGGCTTCTGTGGCTGCGAGACTATGCGTCTGTGGTCCAGCGCACACGGGTGAAGTTTACGCGCGAAAATTCTCAAAATACTTTCGTCTCAACTTCGTGAGAAAAGCTCAAAACCGAAGAGTTTTCGTGTGGCTCTTAACAGGGCAGAAAAAAATCCGGTGGATGTCCCGAGGTATACGATCTACGCGCAATAACTTTTCTCGCGAATAGACAACCTCGTCTGATAATTTTTTGTGGCTGAGAATAGGCTGAGATCTCTCCAAAAATGCAATAAAAACCTGATTTGGATTCAGCTCCGGCCCACACAATTCACTGGCGCTTAGCAGGCTCTTGATACGGCACTCATTCTAGTCGTTCTTCTTCTGTGATTCGCCGCTTATCGGGGGGTCCCTGGTGGGCTGGCGCCCCCGCGCTCCGCCTCGTTGTCGAAGTCGAGCAGCGCTGCCATTTCCCGGCGATAGTAAACTGGAATCAATTGAGTTTTACATTCTCTGTGAGCGCCGTGGTTCTTCGGCCATGGAATCGTCATTACTGCGCCACGGTTCCTTGGCCCTGTTAGTGGCTCAAGACACGGCTCTTGTGCTCTTAATGCGCTACTCTCGACAACGGTCAGGATCTATGTATATATCATCTACGGCAGTGTGTTCCATGGAAGTAATGAAACTAAGCGTTTGTTTCTTGATGTTATTATGTGGTGAGGCACACGGTTCGTTCGGGATGCTCGTCTTCATGATTCGAAAGGAAGTATTGGGTAGACCAAAGGAGGTTGCCAAGCTTGCATTACCAGCTCTTCTCTATTTGATACAAAACAATTTGCTTTATTTTGCATTGTCGCATCTACAAGCTACACCTTACAAGGTAACATATAATCTGAAGATATTGACCTCTGCATTTTTTAGCGTCACGCTTCTGGGTCAGCGGCTTGGTCGCCGCAGGTGGATATCACTCGTCGTACTATTCCTGGGTGTGACCATAGTCCAGACAGATAACCCGAAGAATGAACTAAGCAGACACCACTCAGGTCTCGGATCCCAGACTCTGGGTTTTGTTGCTGTTGGCGGCGCTGCTATTACATCCGGATTCAGTGGAGTCTACCAGCAACGAATCCTTCAGAGCTGCAAAACTGACATGTGGATCCGAAATGTGCAGATGGGTGTCACCTCTGTTACCTTGGGTTTTCTTTGCACATTTCTCAAGGATCGCCAAGCCATCGCGGATGGTGGATTCTTCCAGGGATACTCGCGTCTCGTCTGGGTTGTTGTTTCTCTTCAGGCTCTCGGTGGACTCAATGTAGCGTTCATTCTCAAGTATGCAGACAACATCCTGAAGGGATTTGCCGCTGCTTTTTCGACAATTGCTTCTTGTATAATCGAAATGGTATTATTTCAGTTTCGACCTTCGCCCCTCTTTCTGTTTGGCAGTGCTCTTATCAATATAGCAGCTTACTTCTACAATACGCCTGCCACAAAACGACCAACCAAATGTGACGCCAGTGCTCTCCACTCAGTTTGAGGCTGGTCTGGGAGCTTCTTTCGCTGCTGTCCTCTGTAGTCGCCTTAGGGAACGCGCACGGGGGGGGGAGGTGCAACTGCACATTGCGGCTTAACATATCCCGCCGGCGGGAAATGTTAAACGCCGCTTCAATTTGGGCTTCAACCTCAAACCTTGTACTTCAACCGGGGCCTCAACACCGCCGCTTGCCCTTCAAAAGGGACCTCAACACCGCCGCTCTCGCCTTGCGGGGTGCCCGGGGCTCCGACTAGCCTCCGAGGCGCTGCCCGCGCCTTAGGAGGCGCGGCCCGCCCCAAAACCACGTGCCAGAACTCCACCCGAACCCTTCCGCGGACCCGAAATGCCCACTTAAACTGCCCTTAACCGGTGAACGACACTCCTACTGCCCAGTCAGTGGCCTAGTGCCAACTGCGCCTTGCCGCATAGCCCTGGTCTTCGTATGTTAATAACAGCTGACGGCCCTGTTACCAATATCCTAACTAGGATTACATGCTCTCCTGATACTTCCCCCCCTGTGTAGCTTCCTGACCAGTGAGCTACACGCCTGTTGCCTCCCGTCGGGGGCGTTCGCTATGTGTCACAAAAAGGAAGTCCCGCCGCATCCTGAGCAGAAGTGGTTCGGTAGGTTGGTGGCGAGGGTTCTTCAAAGGGCTGATATCAGAAGTGGTTGTTGTGAAGTGGATAATCGACCTTGATGTGGTCGACGATCGTACACCATTCTCTGATGGGTTCTCCGTGGCTGTTTATGTGCGTGTGGTACATGTCCTGGAGCTGGTGTCTGATGTGAGGTATCATATCGGCCTGTAGGTGTTTCCACGTTTTCATAAATATAGAGACCTAAGTATGAAACAATTGCCATACTACTCTGAGACCTCATCTGTTGAATTGACATGCAGTATACTGATCAAAAAAAGTCTATTGAATATCTTCTCATCATTAAGTATCAAAATAATAAGTCTTGGATCGGGATCTTGCAGTTCGACACGGAATGAAACGACGACGTTGCCGAGCCGATTCTTGGGAACAAGCCGAAAGCGGAATGTCCATTTGGTTCTCGCGGAGTCCAGGCTGCTAAACTTCCATATACCCTGGAGCTTGAAGATGAACATTCCCAGAAAACCAGTCTGATAAACGCTGTAGCGGAATATGTGCGCCACATCGTTTCTGTCATCCACGACCTCCAACACCTTGGAACCTGCGAGCGGAGGTCTCCGCATGTTCAGGAGCGAGTAGGGCTAGCACCATCGGTCAGAGAGTACTTCGCCCGGCTCCCTGCTCGTGGAAAATTCGGCGTTACCTCGACGGAGACGATCCCTGGATGGCCACGATGCGGGAGGTCAACATCGGCCATATTCAGATACCGGGGAGACGCGTGCTCCCACACGAATTCTATTGGTGCATTAATAACCTAGAAACTCCACACTCCTATGGCATGAAGTCGCGGCCAAAATTACCTGGAAATGTGGAGTGAATGAAAAGCACTCGTTGTCGTCGTGTAGACTCATTAGATGTCCAACACCGACCACGGCGGCTAGCAGCCCAGCGCCAACAGAAATTTTTACCTGAACGTGCATGCAGGGCCTTATTCTTAGGAGTCTTTCTTGTGGGGTCACCGTCTTGTGATCTAGAAGCCGCGGCATGTTGCCGCGTGGAAACCGATTGAGTTCAGCGCGGTTTCTTTTTGTATACGCGATATTAAGGAATGATACAAGATATAGAATGATAAATAATATAGTTGGAGTTAGGTGTGCCGTCGACATGGGCTCCACCCATCCCGGGGACTAGCCTAGTCCAGGACCCCCAAGAAAAGAGCGGGGTTGGCTGGGTAGGTGAATGAGTGTCCTGGATGCGCCTCAGGCGCACAACAATAGAAAGACAACTAAAGAGCAATGGACTGAATGGTTAGTAAAGCAAAGCGTTTGGGTTAATTTATTGAAGTAGTAATCGGAAACTTCATCGAAATCGTACAAAGCTGCATCGTTTCGACCGACGGATAGCGCTGAGATGATGTGATGCGCCGGCGCCGCGCCGTTTTTGCGCTAGGTGGTGCACGAAAAGCGCGCGTGCTGCGCCGGACAGCGACGACGGGGTTCGGGAGCGCAAAAATTCCTGCTGGCGGCCTTCTGCGGCGAGACTGTCGATCACTGCGACTGCGGGGCGCGCCCCCACTCGGTTTTTGCATCCCCGGGTTCATATACCGTGATAGCATGGGGCAGCTCATCACCTCTCTACGGTCGCCCTGCGACTGAATTAGGTTCGAAACTCCCCCGCGCGCGCGACGACGACGACGACGACGGCGGCGGCGGCGGCGGCGGCGGCGGCGGCGGCGGCGGCGACGACGACGACCGACCGACCGACCGACCGGCCCAAAAATTTGGTACCAGGAACTCGCCCGGGACCTAGGGGAAGTCACCCGAGGTCCCCCTGAGTACGCCCGAGTAGGATTCAATCAAAGTTTACCACCCCGTACCCCGGAGCTCGAGGTCACTCGAGGAGTTTACCTTGCTTCCTTTAGCTTCAGGCTAGTGGGAGATACGAAAGTCCAAGTGGAACTACAAATAGACTTCTATATCCGCGGGCATGTTTCGGGGCCAGCCCCAAGCCGTGGGGCGCAGGGCGTCGCGGGCCGCAATCGAGCAGCCTTCGCACGGCGGTACCATCAGTGACTAGTGCAAGTACTTTAAGTCCCTGGGATACCTGCGATGGATTCTTTTGCTTGTGCGTGGTGCGGACGGGAGGGCAAAAAAATGCGGTTGTGTACCAGCTGCAAGAAGGTTAGGTACTGTGATGCGCTGTGTCAGAAGAGTGATTGGAGGGCGGGACACCGGACCACGTGCAAGACCGGGTCGACAAAACAAGACACAACATTGTTGGCGCACCCTTGTGGCATCTGCAAGGCGCGCGATGACGACGACCCGATGAGAGGGCGGCAGGCGTTTTGTTATCGATGCGGGCTTCTAATTTGTGGCGCATGCCGTCCATTGCTGGAGGCGCGGCGGATCGAGCGCTGCCCGGGATGCCGGGGAAGACCTCGTGTTACGGATGTCAAGGACCTAGAAGATATGCGGGTGCTAGCGGGAGCAGGTGACATGGAGGACCGGTGCCTGGCGTTGGTTAAGGTGGAATTTGGTGCCTGGCTCGGGGAAGGGCGGGGGGTGATGGAGGCCGACAAAGTTGCGGGGATCCATGCGCTTCGAGATGCAGACGAAGCCAGATGCGCCCGAGCAAGTTTCAGTCTCGCCGTGTGCCACGCAACGGGTTCTAGTGTGGCCTTGATGTTAGCGCGCGCACGAGCACACTGCGAAGTGGCGGCAGAGGCTGGGTTTGTTGACGCCCAATTCAGTTTAGGATGCTTGGCTCTCAATGGAGGCGATGATGCCCGGGCTGTTGCCAAGTTAAAGCAAGCTTCGCGTGGAGGCGACGTCGGGGCGATGATTATGCTGGGCGAGCTCTACGAGGCAGGCCGTGGCGTCCGTGTGGACTGCGGCAAGGCGGCTGCACTCTACAGGGCATGCGAGTTGTCACAGATTGCGGCGACTCACCTCGGTATTCTGCATAAAGATGGGCGTGGAGTTCTTCAAGATGGAGAGCTTGCTGTTCGGCTTCTGACTATGGGTGCCGAGGGAGAGGCGAAGCTCCTCGAGGCACAATGTGAACTCGGAGACATCTACCTGATTGGAGACTCTAAAGTCGCGCGTGATGCGGAAAAAGCAGAGAAGCTCCTAGGAGCCGCCGCTGCAAAGAGCGAACCGCATTCTGCGTATCGGCTCGGATGCCTCCTTATCCGTGGTATGGGAGACGTTCTCCATGACGAACCGCGCGCTGCATCATGTTTCCGCATGGCTGCCAAGGCTGGCTTAGATGCGGCTATCTTCAATCTTGGGTCTGCACCCCAGAGTCAAAATGAGCCTGCTTTATCTGGCCCGCCCCGCGATCATTCTCATCGACAATTCAATGCCCGCAGGTGCATGTATGTTAGAGGCTTCCTGAAGTCGACTGAGTATCCCGAGCCAGAGCCCGGTGTGAGGGGGCCTTCTGCATCCTTAGTTCATCGTGCCGAGCCTGACAAGCTCCGCGCAGCTCGTCTTTGGCAGCAGGCTGCTGATCGTGGCTTTGCGCCTGCACAGAAACTTGGCGGCGTCCGTGAGCCTTGCGGTGTTCATATTCTTGTCTGCTGCCTAGGTACCACGTTGCCAAGTTTCTGGAACGTGGACTTCTGGGCCATGACACGAATCTTTGCGCTGCCGCCGCTCTGTATGCGAGGGCCGCCAATCAGGGGCATCCAGAAGCCCAGCGCCGGCTCAGTT